CTTAGACGCTCGACCCGTAATTATCTGCACGATCTCTACTTGTCAGACTTCTGGCTGACAACGTCTTCTCACGGTTGACCAGGTGATCGCAGCCCTTTTGCCTAGCTGATCTACTTGACTTTTGTCAGCAGCTCATCCAACCATTTAAGTGGTATTAGGTCTTGGTAATTTTATTAGGAACAAAGATCCTACCCTGTTTTCGCTATAAAGCTTCGCTTGCCAACCGAACAGCACTTTAATGTATAGACTCGCTATATGTGCAGGGATTCACGGTTTGGTCACAATCGTAATCACGTATTTTGGTGCAGCAATTGCAATCTCGGTGCTTTGCAGTCGATCTCTCCACGAATGTGAATGAGGTGTAGAGTGTGAAATTTTGCTTTTAAACTCCATAATCGCCGCTTGCTTTGCACGGAAGCACTCGTCAATGAAGTCACACTGTTCTATTGGCAGAGGCCACTGCCGCGTTACGCAGTATATGATTTCAGGAACCAAGTCAATTGAAGGACGCACACCCCTATCAGGAGGTATGGATCATGGCACACCACGTCCTGAAATTTCTTAACTAAAGGATACTAGGGATCTGAAGGATTCTTTAAGATATATGGTTCACTATGTGCACTAAGTGCTGCCTTTGTATCTTCAAGGACTGTCTCATCGACAAGCGAGGATGAGTTCAACTCAAAGTCATTTCGAATGATCACCATATAGGATAGATCACCAGCCTTCAAGGCTTGACGAAATTCATTCACAGACATTTCGTCTAGCTCTAAGAGAGCGTTTAATGATGGGAGGGCCTCAAGGTCAACTTCACCATCTACGTCGCCTGTCACTCCATTGACCAGGTATACAACTGGTCACTGACATCACTACGTGATAAAAGAGACGCCTTGCGTCTCGCAGCCGCCATCTAACGATGCTTCCGTCTCATTGACGAGAACGTACCTATTAAAGTACTTGGGATATCATCATCCCCAAGATCAATAGAATTCGTGACCTTAAGCCTGCTCTACACGAGAGCTGATGTCATTACCAACATCCAGTGAGTTAACTCATGGCTAACATTGCTGCCAAAGTGTTCGATCTTAATTGGTTCTGTATGAAAGCTATTGTCATTGCTGACTTCCAGTGAGTCGTGATTATATTCAACATCACTCGATGGATTTAAAACAGGCCACTCCACGCGCATCACTCGGATTCAACCCTTAATAACCCGACTTTAGGCCAACAATCTTTGCATTATAGTGACTCGGTATCACTTCGAGTATCACTCGAAGAAGTACATACGTATCCATGAGCGTTTCTCGACACTACTATTGCTAATATTGAAATTAAGTAACTCAGACACACCAATATCCAGCACACTAACCGACTTAGATAGTGGCTCGCGCCAAAAGCGCTTTTTTCTTAGCGAATGTGAGTTCATGACTCTCCAAAGATTTGCTAGGGACATTGCGCGTGGCTCCTAAGGTCTTAGATCTCCAATCGATCCATGTCTCATGGCGTTCCACCGAGAATGAGATCATATCTCGGGTCCAAATCTAGGGCAAGACAGCGTTCAACGCTATTGAAGTCTAAGATCTTCACACCTTAGCTCAACGGAACTTTAGGAACGGTGACACTTACAAATGTTGCAAGTCGAACGGCTATACTGTCACCCTCTTGCTCTTTTAGCACCTCAGCATACAGCTGAATCTCTACAAGGGAACGACGTCGTACATAATTTCCCGACGCCCCTGATTCAATTAGAATTGACCATGGTTTCTCAAAACCCTTAACGATTGCCAGCACAACCAACAAGCCTGGCTTGTATTCCTTTTTCATGGAAGTTTTTACAGAACCATCTGGGGCTAAGCCCTGTTTACCTTTACCTCCTAAAAGCTCAACAGAACTTAGTTCTTTCCTAGTAGGGCACCCCGCGCCTACGGGGGGGCTGACGTTTCCCCCTGCCGTGCTCGCCTTTTGGCTTTTGGCTAGGAGCAGGGTTGCGGCTCTGCCGATTATGACGTTGCTTTCGCAACAAAACAACTAGGGCGGAGGTGCCTAGTGCTTTCACACATGTAACATCTACGGATGTTTCTTTTCTGCTCTGCAGCTTAAACCTTAGCTTCATCCCCTTCAGCATGGCTGAGGTACATGGGTGTCGCCCTATTAGAGGCATTTGAATTATACCATGGTAGACCATAGCGAGCAGATTTGAAATCGAACGCAGCGTTAAACGATATGCACACTGCCTCTTCGAAAGTCGAAGTCTGGACACGAAAAACTTCTGTCCTGGCGACCTCTGTATGAAGTCCTTCCATAAAAATGGTTACTTCGACTTCCTCTGCCAGAGGGTTCTGCTGAATAGCAGAAATGAGAGCTCTTAACTCTTGGACATAGTCCGACAAGTGTTTCTTGCCCTGTCGGGTAGCTAAGAAGCGCGAGCGCACACGATAAGCCTGATTAGGCGGTGCAAGCACCTAGGTTAATTGCTTTTTAAGCATCTCCCATGTGGGAAATGCAGCGTTTACAGAGACATCGCTCGTGAGAACCCACTTTCTAGCTCTTCCGACGAGCTTAGAAATGACCAGGCCATCTCGTTGCTTATCTGACACAAGCATGGCGGCATCCATTGCCATTTCAAGTTCTCGGATCCAGAGGAGAAGATTTTCTCCCTCCTTCCCCTCAAAGGTCTTTACGTTTAAAACGAGTGGGCAAGCCTTTGGCTCTGTATCGGGCACAGGTACCGGGATGTAATGTGTAGGCGCAGCTGACGCTGCCTGGTCGTGGGCCTACTCGAGTAGCGTTGCTTCATAACGCATAAAGGCCTCAAGACGAGCATTTAGAACCTCCGGGCCTTGGACCAAAAAGGCCTCGATTTTATCGCGCCCGACGAACGCAGATAATTTATCTAGCGCGAGTCGTTGCGACGCAGAGAGGTGGTTTTGATTCTCCATCCTAACAGAGGGTCAGTCTTTAAAGACTCAGGTGTAGGATTGACTACAAGTGCTACCAAGTGTAGCGGAGATACACAGCTCTTAAATCAGAGGAAGACTTTTAGGCTAAAAGCCACTTAGTTTCAAGGAGCTAATAAGCGACTAAGAAGTCTACCCGTTTTACGGAGCTGGGAAGGGACTTCTAGCCGACAAGGAAAAAGCTAACGGATTCAAAAAACCGAAGCACAAATTGCCAGAGCTTAAGCTATGCTTACGATTAAAGGAACCAAGGCACAAAATGCACACGAGAACAAGTCTTAGATAGACTTAGGATCGTTACCTCAATATGAGAACGGATTTTATGTATATTTATGCATCAACATTCTATGAATAATCCTACTCTAAGTACCCTACACTAAATTAATTACTGTAGACGGGCGCTTCGTAAAGAAGCTGCCACGTACTACGCGGGCACACCTTCAAGAAGCGCGAGGAAGCGGTTATACCGTCTTACCTCCGCGTGCGGTGGTGGTTGCGTTGGTCGGTCGCTTAAAGCGTCGAACCAAACTGTTGCCGGCCGCTTAGAGCGGTCCGCGCAACGAACAACTAAGAAGTGCCTCACTTGCGTCACGCAGAAGCTTATCAAGCTTCTCGTGCGCAGTGGACGGTAGTAAGTAAGTTCAAGACTGACTTACTTCTAATAGGTTTTAAACTAGATATAAATCTAACTACTGATTGGTCAAATACAAAAGATCGGATACGCGTCTCTTTAGAAGCGTATCCTTACGTGCGAGCTTAAAATATATTAGCTCGCTGATGACGTCCGTCTGAAGCGTCACCACGACGCCCAGTCCCAACTAGCGTCATCCCCGTTGAATGTGAATCCATCCATGGATATCACATTCACTAGGGTGGGCAACATTGATGTGCCACCCAAGTGGTAGGCCTAAGGTACCTTGTACCCATTTAGGCCTGCCCGTTTAGTATACGATACTTAATGAACCGTGTAACTTTTAACCCGTTACAATCACTGTAACAGTAATTATAATATGCAGACTTTGTCATTGGACGATGCGTCGTCTAAACATCTGTGTGTGATGCACTTAGTACAGCGTTATCGATTATCGAATCCTAATTGATAGGATACGGTATTACCGAATACCGTATCTTTAACGCTCGTACTTAATACCACTCTATAGAGAAGTATCATAATACATTATATGCAATATAGAAACTTCAACCGTTAACTTTCGGAATGATGTTCCAACCGTCGTGTAACCCCGTTACACCGGAGTTGATCTAATGCATTACAATAACAAGTCTCATTTCTTCCGTCTTCTTCTCCAAAATACTTATACAATCGCAACGAAAAAACTGAAGTCATGAATGTTCATTTTCACAAGCTTTGAAAATTATCGTGCCATATAGTAGCAATAAAAGCAACGTAAGCAGCATTGTCACCATCGCACTCACTTGCATCTTGTCATATGTGTTCAATACGTACTCGAAGTTCCGAGATGCTTAAATGGGTTGAATCGTCATGATATACTCGATATTCTGGACTTTAAAAATCCTGTTTATGCCTGCTGCCCTTTTCAAAGTGCATTGCGTCTGCCGCTTAACTTCGAGCCCAAAATTACGTTAGGAAACTAATGAACACTGTAGCAGTGTTCTCTGGAGCATATATGCGAATCTGCTTGCTAGGCATTCTGGCAGTAGTTTTACTGTTTACGATGACGATTGCCTCATTGAAAATGATATAGAAAGTGATGATTGAAATTTGCTCTTGTCGGTGCAGCAAACATCATGCGGAACAGCATTGAAGGCTGCAAAAGTTATGGCTCAAAAAGATACCACAACAATCTGACCATTTAGACTGCGTTGTCTGTGTAGCAATCATTTTCTACAGGTATCTATCCCATACTTCACGGGTTTCACTTCCGGCCCGGGTTTATTAGGACCTATTCTCCCTTACATTGGATAAAAACTTCCGGCTTTCCTCCGCCAGTAAAACCAAGAGTGGGTGTGTGTCAATCGTTTGGCTCTGGTCGGTCATTTCGGAAGACTCCCTCACGTAACATCATGCCGGTATGTTAGTGATTATGTTTAGAATAAACACTTTCGATACGACAATTTAATGACCGGCACAAACTTACACTTGTAATTGGTAAACAGATTCGTCAATTTCAAGTCGTTGGCCGCAAGGCCCCCACCGAGAAGGAGCCCAACCCACCGGCGTATCGCATGAAGCTGTTTGCGCCTAACCCGGTGCTGGCTCAGTCGCGCTTCTGGTACTTTTTGCACCAAATGAAGAAGATGAAGAAGACTACGGGCGAAATTCTGGACATTAATGAGGTGCGTCTCCAGCCACTCACGTGAAAACCTCTCAATAGTATTATTCATATGACTATTGAGAGAGAGACGGAGGGTTACCTCCTTGTCCAATCCTCCTAGCGACCTGCCACAAGCGCTTGTCTGCCACGAGAGTAGAGAATTCTTTGACCATGTTGTCTTTCCCCACACTCCATGGTCTTTCTCTACTCCAGCTTGCATACCGCTTTTCGCTCAGTGAGATCGCGGTGTGATCCGTTGTTTAGCTTTATTGGATGTGGGATGTCACGTTTGTAAGCGACCCAAACTCTAAACAACTTTGCACTGTCTGTTAAAAGGACGAGGGCTAGGAAGCTCTTCTACTAATTGACAATACGCCAATATTAATTGTTTATATTCTTGTATTTGTATAACAGCTGACGGAGAAGAATCGTCGTGTAATCAACAATTACGGTATCTGGATCCGTTATAACTCGCGTAGTGGCACCCACAACATGTACAAGGAGTACCGTGATGTGACTCTATGCAAGGCCGTGGAGCAGATGTACTCGGAGCTGGCTGGTCGTCATCGCGCTCGCCCTCGCTCAATCCAAATCATGCGCACTGCTATTGTTGCTGCTAAGGACGCTAAGAAGCTGAATGTGCAACAGTTCCACGACTCGAAGATCTCGTTCCCATTGTCGCACCGTCTCCCGCGTGCCGCTGTAAAGCACCACAAGACCGTCTTCAAGGCTTCGCGCCCGTGCACCTTCCGCGGATAAGCTAGTAGCTTTACGGCTGATGATCCGGCTGTCATGCTGTCTTTAGGTAGACTGGTCTGCTGAGACATCTCGGAACGTATTAATGCAATTGAATCATGGGGGTTTTCAATCTTAAAGTTTTGTGCAATTTTGTGGTGTTACTAATTGATCGAGACTGCTGCTCTGATGGTGCTAAGATAGTCGAAGCTTCAAAGCACTGCAAGGCCTCGTAGAACCGCATTACATCTTGTTTCGTAATTGCAAAGATTACTGACTTTGTGCATCATCTTCTATGTCGAGATAATTTTTCATCGAGCACTGTCAAGCAGGATATTTCACTTAACGATACACCCAACAACCCACTCATTACGTGTATAATGGATAGACATGGCTTCGTTGGACAGACGACTTTATTAGGATTGCTTAAAGTGCTTGCCTACACGACCACCGACAGCATTATGTTGTTTACTTAATAGCATGTTCGTCTCGCATCAACGTGGTAGTATCGCCTTGAAGGCTACGCGGAAAGCAGCATCTACTCACGACTTTCTTATGGTCAATAGAGGTTTCATTGTGTCGCCTTTTACTTCCACTGCTCGCTGAACAATGAAAAAAAACGAAAACAAGCCTTGTAATCTCAACTTCCAGAGCTTTTATCTCTCGAGCTAAGTAGCTAGACTACCTGGACTAGGTAGACTAAGTGCAGGGTCTGCTGGACAAGTTTTTGTGTTCAGCGACGCCAAGATTTATATACAGATGGAGACAAGATTGTTTAACAGCGCTAGAGTGTTGAAATAAGGTCAAAAGCAGAGTTTGTGAGGCGAGCGGTATCTTCAGCAATATACGCAAAGTCGACATGCATTTCTTCTGGAACCAGGTCCAACTCGATGAAACTAACACCCGACGCAATAAAGTTGAGCGTTCAATCTCTGAATGTCATGCTGCATTAGTAGAGAGAGAGAGCTACGAAGCAATTGCTGCCATCCTTTCTCGCCGTGACAAATGGACTAAAGATTATTAGTTAAAGTCGTCATGATCTGCTCGATAATTACTCTGAGCAAGCCGGGCATGCAAGAATTTGAGCGAGGAATGCTGCTAATCCTTCTTTCACCTGCTGGAAGGAAAGTTTAGTAATAATCACAATCAACACGGTGGGTTCCTTTTGGGCATACAGCCGTTTATACGATCGTGAGGGAGGATTCCGAGGGGTGGCTTTAGCTTGTACGAAAGCATCTTGGGACTTCAAAGCTGACCAAAAGATACACAATGTGGCAAGGAGACCAAATGATCTGACTCTGGCGTCTTGAGGTTCACGCTTGACCAAACTTATAGCAAGTTTGTGATCTGATGCGCACTGTCAGCCTTATCACACACATTCCTTAACACGTTCGGTAAGCGAGATTTTGTCATTTCTGCGGGATTTTTGCACAATGTTGTCACAATTTTTTTCCATGATGCTGTTCTTCGACTCTATGGAACGAATGTTACGGATCGCTCAGAGAGATCAATCAGATATATTAATGTTTATTTTATCTTTAAGGATATAATTTTTTTATTGTTTGAAGAAAGTAGGAGTGCTTATAGCTTAATTGGATAAAGCCCTAGATTGCGGATCTATAAAATGAAAGTTCGAATCTTTCTAAGCATAAATTTTGAAGTGTAGCCAAGTGGTAAGGCCTCCGTTTTTGGTACGGAAAATCAAAGGTTCGAATCCTTTTACTTCAAAAGGGCCTATAACTCAGTTGGTTATCGATAAAAATTTTATTTTTCCTCAAAAAATAAAAATTTTTAGTAAAAAGAAAAACAAAAACAATTTAGGTTAATAGAAAAGAAACTCTTTTTAGTATCGCTTCAATTGTCTAAAAATATAGAATTTTTGGAAATATTATAAATTATAATTTAATTTATTTAACTGGACGTTCTAAAAGTATTTATCGTTTATTTAAAATTTCAAAAACTTCGACAAAGATGAAGGTCAACTATTATTGCCCATTATGCAATCTGCAATGCTTTAGGTTCTGAAAGGCGCTACGGTGAACATGTCATGATGTGCAGGAATCCAGTAGCTTTTAGACACGTTAACTGTCCCATTACGCCTTACGATACCACAGCGCAAAATGACGAACGGTTTTGAGAGTCTCACTCGTTTAAAAATATTTGCTCTCAACTGTTGCTAGTCGATAGAAATTCTTAACCACGTGCTCTGGGATCAAGTCTTACACAGCTACTGGCTCGTCACGACGTAGATCGTTATGTCGAAACTGGTTGGACCCGTCAAAGAGAAAGTAGCTATACTCAATACACTTAAGTCTTCAAATTTCACTGTCGGACTAGAAGCTACTAGTGCCTGGAAATTAACCTGAGTCCTAGCAGTCTATTCCAGCATCGGCGACGGTGTCCTCTGTCACAAATGTACATTCAGTCACTTCTTCACTTTCCATTTCAGTCGCGTCCAGTGCAGGCGCCGAGACGACCTTCTCAGCTACAGACGACACGGACGACTTCTTGGATGTACGGGATGGAACACCATTCGACGATGAAGTACCAGCGCTAGAGGTAGCAGAAGGAGCCCGGCGGTAGCTACGAGTAGGGCCAGTGCGTTGTCTTTCTGCCCGCATCACTTTTTGATCTGCAATCTCATTCTCATTCGCTAGCTTTGCGACTTCGTAAAGCTCCGAGCCGCGACAAATTTCATCATCAGTTCTCGACATCAGCGGTGTCTGCTGTTTGTTAGAGAAAAATGTACGCAGCTCACGCTGACGCTTCTCAGACTTCGCAGCGTTCTCCTCTTCTAGTCGTTTGCGTCGCTCGTACTGCTGTCGTGCCCGTTCAGCATAACCTGGCGTATTCTCGTAATTCATATAACGAGGAGGCGTCGAGTTCAGTTTCTTGCGTGACAAGGCTGAACGCACAAATGGTTCAGGTGGGCCAGCAATAGTTGCTCCAGCAGCGAGAGATGCACGTCGATTACCTGCACCCAGCACACTTCTTACCCCTGCCGATCCTAGACTCTTTCGGCGCTCAGCTGCAATAAATTCCTCCTTTGTAATGGTTTTGTGAGAAGTTGTCTGCATTAAACCAGACTGGATCCCAGCAAACACTTTACTCTTGACGTTGATGTACCTTTTGTTTCGGGACGGAGCCGAGGGAACTGCAACATTGATATCTTCCAAATGCTCAGCAGCATTTCTCGCCCTAAAAGAAGCAGATCGGGCCGTGATCGATGCGCGTTTCGGCGCCACAGAAACCGTTGATGAAGAAGGCTTTACAAAACCACTTCGACCAACTGCATCCTTCGTTTTCGACACATGGGTCGTCAAAGCACGGAGCGAGTGCCTTACCTTACTATCATGGTCCGCAACATTCCTAGCATGCGACGAAGTAGAAGACGCTGTGATGGACACTCGCTTCATGGGGACCGGAACGGTTGGAGCAGCTGGAGGGGGCTCAATACATCCAGCATTGCTGACTGTGCCCTTGATTTCAGGTGCTGATCGTTTCTTTTTGGGCTGTAGCGAATCCTTGTGCGATTTGTTTACGTTCAGTGTCTTTTGAGCCATGGAAGCTGCAGTTGGCGCAGTCGTAGAAGCACATTTCGCAGGTATAGAAACGGCTGATTTGGCAGATATCGATTTGACTGATGTCGATTTGACTGATTCCACTGATGCAGCAGAAACCTTGCGAGTCAGTTTTGGGAATGGCTTCGCTGACGTCTGCTTTATCGAAGCTTTCGTTGACTTCGGCGACGTACTCCCAGAATGTACCTCGTGAGAGGGGCGTACCTTCGTGAGTGACAGGTGTTCAAAGTCATCCTCGCCGTCGGTCATTGGTCGCTCGCCTACAACAACCGTCTCCGCAGTCTCAATAGTGTGGTCATCCTCCATCACATATAATTGCTCCGTAGTCAATATTGGCCGTGAATTATTTTTCGTTGCATGCTTCATCTGCTCTTTCGAAGTTACAACATCAGGTTTTCCCAAGTCCAGTTCCGTGAGCCCAATCTCAGCACTAGAAGCGCTTTCAAGGACTTGGACTTGAGATTCTGTACTTGCTTCGTTATTGTTTGCAAATTGCTGAATGTCCACACTTTCACTCTCCCCGCCGGTAATAGTGACTTCGCCAGTAGAAACAGAGGAACTAATCAGAACACCCTCAACGGGTTTACCAATATCTTGCTCGTTCAGCTCACTGTTTGCAGCGTTTTCTTCAGCGGCGTTTTTGCTGGTGGGAGCTTGCAAGACATTCACTTGCTCGCCAACATCACCTTCTTTTATGACGCCACCGCCCCATTCAGATGATGTGTTTACAACAGCCTCTCCAAAACTTTGCTTGTCCAGTCCACTATCAATCTTGAAATCAATGTCTTCAACTTCTTCGCTCTTCGCATTCTGTTCGATATTAAGGCTGGCATGCGTGTTGGCGAGAGAAGCTTCGGTGATACCAGTGTCGGCGCGTCGGTTATTGTCTGCAAGAGTAAGCTCAACAAGTTCGGTATTAAATTTCGACACAGCCTTACCAGATCCTTGATTAATCGTAGTTTTCTCGTTCGCCTCCACCGTCGCCTTGCACTTGCCGCTGTCAACAGAAACCGGTTTGGCCACCGAAGTATCAACAATTTCTTCCGCTACGCCCAGTACGCCAGGGGCAGCAAGCATGTCCTCTTTGATGACGGTAATGCTAACCGTGTCAGTACTGGTAGAAGGCAAAACACAACTCGTTTCCGGAGATTTTTCCACAGCAGTCCCTGCTTCATCATCCACACTCAAACTACCGACTGCAACACCTTTGACGCTATCATCGGCTGACTCGACAGCTGCAGCGTTGTTCGGTTCTGAAGGACTCAGCGTAACACCTGTTGTCATCTCAGTGCAAACTTCATCAAGCGATGACAAAGACGTTGTAACTACTGCATCAACACTAGCCGCTTCCACGAAGTTTTCCCGCTCAACAGGCGTCGGAGTAGGCAGAAGCGCAGTGACTTTTGGCCTAGCGTGCTCTGTGGTCATCGTTGCTTCCTCCTGTTGCTTTCTGATAGCCTCATATTTCGCCTTTTCCGCACCAACATGGATACTGCGCTTCCCTCCATCAGGAAAAAACTCACGAACAGTGCGAAATTTCAAATTGTCAAGCGATTGCTCGTGTTTGCCTTCAAAACGACTGGCAATTCTTTTCACAGGCGTCAAGGACTCTTGCACATCGTCGCTGAACTTGCTTGAAGAATCAGTAGCTGCATATTCCTCATCAAAACTGAACTTCTTTCTGCTTGCAGCAGTGTCAGGTGTGGTAAAGACAACAGGATCACCACCGTTTACATCAGTCATTACTGACTCTTGGACAGCTAAAGCCGAGTTCTTGAGTGCTGGTGAAGATGCGCCAAACACAGCATCTTTTTCAGGAGATTTGAAGCCTGATCCAGGCTTGTACTTCGCCTTTGCTTTGTCTTCTGCTTTCGCCTTTAGTTTCTGCTGCTGCGCCTGTGCTTCGTACTTCTTTTTCTCCGCTCCTACACGGATGCTGCTTTCCTGAGGGAAAAATTCCCGCACAGTGCGAAACTTTAAGCTGTCTAGAGACTGTTCTTTCTTGCCTTCAAAGCGGCTGGCAAGACTCTTCACAGGTGACGTCCTTTCTAGTATTGCTGGCGCAGCAACTACAACAGGTAGCTCAGACGTCGGCGGTGAAACCTTGACAGCCATCAATTCCGTTTTGTCAGTCGATATAACTTCGCTCGACGAGTACTCATTGGATTCAACAACTTTGACGGACTCAGTCACTGAAGGATTGACATCAATGTCGTCACTTACTGCAGTCTCGTTCTGTGCAATTTCGTCAGGCGCTGCGGTACCAACCATATCAGCCACCAACGGTTCGACAACAAGAGCCTCGCTCGGCGAGTAATCATTGGATTCAACAACTTTGACGGACTCAGTCACTGAAGGATTGACATCAATGTCGTCACTTACTGCAGTCTCGTTCTGTGCAATTTCGTCAGGCGCTGCGGTACCAACCATATCAGCCACCGACGGTTCGACAACAGCAGCCTCGCTCGGCGAGTACTCATTGGATTCAACAACCTTGACGGACTCAGTCACTGAAGGATTGACATCAATGTCCTCACTTACTGCAGTCTCGTTCTGTGCAATTTCGTCAGGCGCTGCGGTACCAACCATATCAGCCACCAACGGTTCGACAACAACAGCCTCGCTCGGCGAGTACTCATTGGATTCAACAACCTTGACGGACTCAGTCACTGAAGGATTGACATCAATGTCCTCACTTACTGCAGTCTCGTTCTGTGCAATTTCGTCAGGCGCTGCGGTACCAACCATATCAGCCACCGACGGTTCGACAACAGCAGCCTCGCTCGGCGAGTACTCATTGGATTCAACAACCTTGACGGACTCAGTCACTGAAGGATTGACATCAATGTCCTCACTTACTGCAGTCTCGTTCTGTGCAATTTCGTCAGGCGCTGCGGTACCAACCATATCAGCCACCGACGGTTCGACAACAGCAGCCTCGCTCGGCGAGTACTCATTGGATTCAACAACTTTGACGGACTCAGTCACTGAAGGATTGACATCAATGTCGTCACTTACTGCAGTCTCGTTCTCTGCAATTTCGTCAGGCGCTGCGGTACCAACCATATCAGCCACCAACGGTTCGACAACAAGAGCCTCGCTCGGCGAGTAATCATTGGATTCAACAACTTTGACGGACTCAGTCACTGAAGGATTGACATCAATGTCCTCACTTACTGCAGTCTCGTTCTGTGCAATTTCGTCAGGCGCTGCGGTACCAACCATATCAGCCACCAACGGTTCGACAACAAGAGCCTCGCTCGGCGAGTACTCATTGGATTCAACAACTTTGACGGACTCAGTCACTAAGGATTGACATCAATGTCGTCACTTACTGCAGTCTCGTTCTGTGCAATTTCGTCAGGCGCTGCGGTACCAACCATATCAGCCACCAACGGTTCGACAACAACAGCCTCGCTCGGCGAGTACTCATTGGATTCAACAACTTTGACGGACTCAGTCACTGAAGGATTGACATCAATGTCCTCACTTACTGCAGTCTCGTTCTGTGCAATTTCGTCAGGCGCTGCGGTACCAACCATCTCAGCCACCAACGGTTCGATAGCAATAGGCTTGCCATCGTTCTTGTTGCTAGACGCTATTGCATCACCTGCCCCAATCACGAAGGTATTAACTGCAGCTTTGTCCGACTGAAGGCTAGCATTATTTGCGATCTCCACTTCAACTTGATTTTGTGTCGTGTAGATTGATTGGTCAGTATCAAGGTCAAGGTCAAGGTCAAGGTCAAGCTTCAGCGGAACAGGCTCACTCATCACGACATCGGTACTGCATTGATTTCGTTCCGTCGGCTCAATAGTAGCAATTTTCGCTGACGCCGATACATTCTCATCTTGAACCTCATTTGTTATGTCCTGTTCATTGGTAGATCCGTTCGTATCCAACGCAATCAATGTTTCATGCTTCAGCGTTTCAACAGCGGTCGTAGTAGATCCATTTTCGTCCGCAGGACCGTGAACCTCAACCTTAAATTCCGTGACGCGTTCAATCGACACATCAGCTTTGGAGTCAGCACCTCCCAGCACTTGGCCATCAGACTCTGGTGCATCTGTCTTCGACTGACACAGCAAACTATCCACCACTTTGATCTCTTTCGCTTGTTTCTGTACTCCGTCTTTCAACTTGGTACTCAAAGATGTCATCTGCATTGCATCCTCCTCCTCCTCCTTCTTCTGCTCCTCCAAGACGTCGCCCTGGTCCTTCTTGGCACTAACAGAAACACTCGGCTCTCCTCCCTCGACACGTCTTTCCTTTGGCACTTCCAGTTGTTTTCCTGCCGTCTCCACTGGTGATAGATTCACCTGTTTCGTTGCCGACTCAATTGGACTTGCCAGAGACTTTTTACGTCCCAACTTGAACCTCGAAAAGAGTGACCCCACAGCTCGTGTTCCCGAGGCCTTCAATGTATCCAAAGACGATGTTGTCTCCATAGACTGAGATTCTGATGCATTGTCTTTCGTCTCCTCCTCATACTTCTCCTTCTCGATCACCACAGCTTTCATTGTAGAAGCCTCGATAGACCCTGTACTCGCTTCAATGAAAAGCCCTTTTCCTTCCTCTTGTCCCTCCGTTTCTTCCTCTTTCTCCTTCATTGTCTTCAACTCGTTCTTTTCCAAGCTCTTGCGTCGATTCTTCTTCTTCTTTCTCTTCTTCTTGTTCTTGTTCAGGTCATTCGTGGGGCTAAACACGTCAAGCTGTGGCTCTGGTTCAACAAGACAAGCTGATGTCTTTACGTCGACGGATAGAGATGTCGACAACTCGACGACTTGTTGATTCATCTCGTGGGGGCGCTATTTCGCTTGTGAGAATGAATGTCCGCCTGCGTTGCAGCGACAGATGAATCCTCTAAAAGTAGAGGCAAATCAGTTGGGCAGGTATAGATTGTTTTCTAGGCTCTAGTTCTGTGGAATATACTATGGCCGTGACTATTTTTAGGTAGTACTTAGCGGAGGTATATTCGGTAGCGTAGGCTATTGCACACTTCGCGCAAAAACCTGGTCGGCAGAGAGCATACTGTAAGAAGGGGCTGCCTGTCTATTCCACGAGGCAGCCGCACTTATCCGGATCTTATTTTTTCGAAAACTTAAAGACACTTTTTATTAAATTGGTTGTACCAAAAATAATTTCATGTCAATTAATTGCAATACATCATTGTATTACTTCTTGTATCTTAATACAATATGCATTTTGTAGTATTGCAATTTCTCCTAAAACTCGGATTCGGCCAGAACCAAAGCAAAGCGTACAGTGCTCTTCTTGAATGCTGCATACATACGACAGACTACTAACGGACTTTCTTCCAGCACTTGATCAGGCTGCATATCTCTTGTTTCCACATCTTCCTCGCTCACAACTAAGTCGCCATCATATTCTCGAAGAAATGGACGAGGACAAATGCACCGCAACACATACTCGCGTTGAACGGGTACAACAGACATGGATCTTGTCTCAGTGGGCGTTGGGTTGGTTAGCACAAGTGCAGCCACCAGCTGTCGCAAGTTGTCTTGCTGTAACAAATCAGAGATTTCCGCTTGTTGCCGACGTGAAAGTGATGGCAATAGGAGAAGATTCACGAGTGCTAGAGCGCTCTGCTCCTCCTTTGACGCCGGAAAGTAGTGCAAGAGAGCTAGTGCCTTCGTCACCAACGCTTCCACAGCTTCAAGTGAGCGCACAAGCTTCCAACACGCATCCAACGCCATTTCAAATGCAACTTGAAGCTGCTGATCTTGATGAGCCGCTGCTATCGACTGTTCGTTGTCACCGCTGCACGGTTGCTTGCTTCTGCCAGCAGCAGAAAAGGCCATTTGTGACTCTGCTAAAGCTTCATCTAACAACGCGATGGCACGATTTCCATGCGAACAAAGATTTTGCAACGCTCGATGAACCACTGGCAACGTCTGAGATGATACCTGAACGGGCAATGCAGTCTCTAAAGCAAATACGCTACTTGAGATTGCCCCTGCAAGCATTTGGTGAAATAGTTCGTGCGGCGACATTGTCTCCATGTAGTGATAAACCTTCTCCGACTCTTGCACTGGGTCAAACGACCGCTTTTGGCGACTTGCTGGCACCGGCGCACTCGTTTCCCACATTCGTTGCCACATATGCTCGTGACCTGGTCCGAAACGCATGCGCTCGGATAACATACCATGTCGTTCAAACCACCACACTCCTCGTCCTTCGGGTGGCAACTCAGTTACCAGCGGGTCAATTGAAGTCTTAAATGGGATCCAATCTTTCGGTGAATACCAACGGATAAAATCTGCGAGGCAGCAACGCGGATTGGCAGCTTTGAACGCCTGCATATCCGAGATTAGTGCCGTACTCTGGATTTGTTGCCGTAATTTCTCGGACTCCACACTCACACCTAAGCGAGTAAAAAGATCCTGCTGTTCCTTCGCTACATCTTCTGTCATCGGCACAGACGTCTGGGTTGTAGGCTCCAGCAGTGGCTCATCGGTCTGAAGACAAACAACTCCTATTGCTTCGCGGAGGACACCCTCAGGATGCCTCGATGCCGGCAAAAGCCCGTTTTCTTGTTCGATCGAGTCAAAAAATTCGTCGTCGCTTGGAGCGCCGTCTACTTCATCCTCGCATTCCTCGCCGTTCACAGCTCTTAAGCTGTTAGTAGGAGCGTCTTCCGCACCAGAACTGTCATGTCTCCTCTGAGCTGAGTTAGCCTTGGTGATAGAAGTTGGCTTCAATTCTTGTGCTTTTCTACAAGAAAATGTAAACAGGGTTTAGTTTTTAGGTTAGCACAAACGCTATAAGCACAGGAGCTGGAAGCGCTAGCACAAAAACAAAGCAATATCGCTTCACCTGAAAATGCAACAGTTCAGAAGTTGAAGCTTCTGGTGCAAAAGACATCGACGAAAGTCTGGTGGAGGGAGCTGTATCGCATCTGAGTCCAGCAGGAAGAGTGTTTCCAAAGAATGCGGGCTTGTGTTGCGATCGACACCTTCGTCTGTGCTAGTGTTCTATGCGCATTTGGCAGTCGCATAAACGTCAGTATTCATCATAAAGTATACGAACAAGAGAAAACCTCACCATGAACGGAAGTAGTTGCTGCTGAAACCACCGTTCTCTCAACGCTTTTACAAATTCGACCCACAACAATGACATGGAGTTGATACCACCTGCATCACCAAAAACGAATCCATAAGCGCACCATTAAGTGGGACATCTAAGGTACATAATGCCTGTCCAGATGAATGCACTTACGTAGTTGCGACATCCTGGTTGCTACAATTGACACGAGTTCTCCCAACGGTGCACCATGCTGAACAGAACTAGGGATGCTCGCTAATGCAACCCCTAAGTTTTCATTAAGTCTGCGACTGCTTTCTTCACTTTCATCTTTGTCCTTTGCTTCGTCTTCACCATTATTGAACAGCTCCGACACAATCCGCCTAATTTCCTCCATGTCTGAGCCTTTCCATGTGGCAGCAGATACTAAGCTTGATATGGCATTGCTAAGCACGACAGCTGCGCGAGCAGCAGGAATAGACTCAGGAAGAGTCGACAACGGCTGTTTTGGGGCAGCCTCACCGCACTGAGTAGCACTTGGAGTAACAAGTGACACTGACGGCGAAGAAGTGACTCGCATTGGTGGCGCCAATTCGGACACCAAAATGTCTTTGTTCAACTCTCTGGAGTTGGAATACACTTGGACAAGGTTTGCAATTTGCTTGCTAAGCGGTAATTGCGGCTTTCGATGGTTTTCAGATAGCAAATTTTGAAAACGCACGCTCAACATCCACTGAGGTGCTAACATTGGATCCAGCGTTGAGTGCACTACATTGTCTACGTACGTGCCTTCACGCAGCTGTGGCCAGCTAACTGTTAAATCTATTCCATTCAAAGGAGAAGTGGAAGTCCCCAGTAATGGAATAGGGTGGTTTTCACCAAAAAGTCTGCGTGTAATCTGGCGAATCTGGTTTTCAAGCTCGGTCGGCTGCTCGAAATCTGAAGTTCTCCAAGCTAGAGGATCCTTCGGCAAAAGCACTTCACGTGGATCACTTGTTCGATTCCACGAAAATTCGAACGATGCTGAAACCATCATACCAATTGCGAGGCTCCCCGACACGTCGGCCTCAACACGACATTTCTCTTCAACTTGCGGCGACAACTGCAATTTGACTTTAAAAAAGTCAAGCAGACCGCTAATGCAACTTTGGTTAAAGTTTAGTTCCGGAACAGAATCCGTGTCGAACGACATCGACACATTGCCTGTAGCACCAGGAACTGCTGATCCAACCAGCGTACCACGAGACGGCTCAAACACCGGTACGAACGCGGGGATCGTGCAGTTGCAGTTGTTCAGCGCCATGTTCAGCGCTGATAGCAGCATCCCCGCCTCGTTCTGATCAACCTGAATATCTGCAATAACGTCTTCATCCTGTTCGTGGTCGCCATTCTCTCCTCTTTCCGGTGTCACTTCTCTCCCCTCCATAGAATTTTTCTCCACATCTTTATCAACGTCTTCGTCATTTGTACAAACACTTTTCTTCTCCTCCGTCTGCTGCTTCTTCATTTCGCATCGAGCCGACCTGCTTAGAAATAGAAACTCGTCCACTCCAAACCATTTTTGCACGTTCTTAAACACCGTCTTCCTACTGTACTGTGGCTCCGTCTCGTTCTCGAAGACCGACGTGTAGTACGAGACGCTCGGTCGTGTCTCGTCTTCCCCCTCTTTCTCCATCTCTTCTTCCTCTTCTACTTGCCATCGAAAGTCTCGACTGGCATCAGCCACCGACAGCATCGTCGGTGTAAAATGTTCCAATCCTTCCTGCCATTTCTTCCTCGTAGCGTTTCTAACGGGTGTAGTAGGCTCCTTCTTCACCCGCATCTCTACGTGTCTGGCTACAAACAGTGTAAGTGTGTAACTGTTACGTGTCTTGGCTCCTGGTGGCTGAAATTGAAGCTCCTTCGTCCACACAGCGGCGTCTTTAGCTGTGACTTGGCGTCGACTCTGAGGTGGTAAACGTTTTGCAGACGCGGCGGTCAGTGCTTCCACCGACGTGTGGCCTTTGTTCGCCAGATGCCAACCAATCAGAGTTTGCTCCACATCTGAGACGAACTGCTCCGAGTCTGTGGCATTTGTAAAGTCGACGAATTGGCTGCTTGGGTCTTCCTCCACCTGCATCCTTCGGCTTGAAGTCGGAAGAATGGGAATGAAGGTCCGGGTTGGAGAGAGGTACTCAACCCACGGGTGTGATAGGCCGCTGGGTTGACTTATCTAGAAGCTGTGATTGGACAAAATCATTTTTCAAGCTTAGAAACGACGTTAGAAATTCGTTATAGCTTGAGGCTGCAGATCGGGTAGAGGTCAAATTGTGAAGCTGTCGGTGTCGGTGTATACGAAGGTAGAGATTGGAGTGAGGAATTGGAAGGTCTCACGTGGAAGTATTAGAACGGGAATTTGATGCAAGAAGAGACTACCGATCGATTGAAAAGCCAAGAGATTGAGGCGGCTGCTACGTTAGACTGCGGATATTGAGACAGGTTACAATCGAAGAAGATGGGCTTCAAAGGAGACGACATTGCTAATGATCACAAACCGATAACGCTCGAGGGGAAAACATGCAGAATATGATAGGAAGCTCACTAGAAAGCTGGTAAATAGACAATTGCAAAGTGAAGGATGAAGAGTTGTAAAGATGGAGGATTACAGTAGGCAGCTGCTTCGATACGACAAGAGCGAAAAATTTGGGGCGATCGTCGTGCATGACCAGGGATTCACGGGCTCGTGCGTAATCTTGAGCTGATACTTATCAGCTACAAGGACAATAACGTTTATTTAAGGTTATAGTTCACTACTCTTAACTGTTAATTGGCGAGTTTATAGTTGTTACAATGCCTTTGCTCTCGTAAATGACACAAGAGCGGCGTCAGCCTGACAAGAGTAAATTGCTGCTAACAATGGCACTGGCGATACTTGTTGAACGTTACTTGATTGATGACGATTTAAATAGTAGCCTTGCTCGACGGGAATGGATGATGTGCTATTTCTTTGGCTGCAAGAGCGTACACATGACAAACTACAACAAGGGGGAGTGCTTGCTCAAAGTACTACGACCAGACATCATTCGATCTCTTGGACTACGTCGGAATGGTATTGTCCAGTGTGCTTAGTAGTACAACGAAGATTAGCTGTGCGCTTAATACGGGCAGAACGAGATGCAAGCGTACGCCTGGACCAACCATAATTCAAGTAGTCTCGTATGGAGGCGTCGTCATTTTACAATTGCTTGGCTCATTTCAATAGGAGAGGCTCGTGTGCTTTATGGCTCCTTGGTCTCACCTGGAATCGGATCGACGCAACGACTCTGACCAACGTTGTGTGTGGTCATCAGCAGATACGGCTATTTCGAACGAGTTACGTCATTTGCTGTGGCATGCTGCACAACAAATTGCAGGATGTCTTGGTAGAGCGGCTCATTGCGGCTTTTGATCTTACAAATTGTCATGTGATCGGACTCTGGTAGCACGTAGAAGCGGCCGGTGCCTGGGTCAGCCGAGTCCGGCTTCACGACGACAGCGGAGAGGCCAAGGGCCACCGGCGAGGCGCTCTCCTCACCTACACTGAAACAGTCAATGCCCAGCGTCTTGAAGCTATCGTTCAAGTCTTTGAGACGTCCATTGGGATCTGCTCCAAGATCTTCGATGGCTGGATGCGTCTGGATCAATTTTCGGATAGACTCCGATTGCATGCCCATCGCTAGGCCCGAGCCAAAGTGGGGGACAGCAAGAAAGATTATACCTATAGTGCTGTCAGCCAGGCCAGATTGATCGCGCTGCTTACGCTCGAGCAAGAGCATCGTTTTCGTCAGCAAGCCACCCATCGAGTGCGTAATGAACACGACAGGGCGAGCGGGTGCGCCAGGGTGGCGGCGGTCGCGGCCGATATTAGCAGCGTAGAGAGCTGAAAGCATGACGCGTGCACGCTCTTTAAGAGAAAGCGAGGGCCATGGACTAGACCAACTCACCATACCAGCCTCGTAGCCCAACGTCACTAACCGTGCAGGTACGTTGTTGCGCTGCAGGTCTTTTGCGAGCAGCACGTCCGGCCAAATCTTGTTGTTTCCGCCTGGCTGTTTCATATCGGTGCGCCATGTACCGAAAGGATGTCCACGCAGGCCATGTACAAACACCACATCGACTAGCGGGGCAACGCCATTCTCGTCTGTAGGTTGCTCCACCGAATTAATGTCGCTTTGAGATATGATCGGGTGTACACCTTCACAGTACACATCCTTCACCAGGCGACCCGTAGCTACTACTTCGTTGTAAGCACGAAGATTTTGCACGACACGGAAGTAACTCGAGCGTTGCATCGGATCATCGCACTCGCGCCAGCGACAGATGCTACGAAAAAATTGCTTTCCAGACGGCGTCTCCTCGAGTAGTTTGGCGATGTCGACGTGATCGCTTGTAACATCAGCCCGAGCGGGATCGATGGAAAGTGCCGAGCTTTGTGGGTCGATGTCGAGACAATATGTAGCAACTAGGTTTGCCAACACACGTGCGCACTGCGTATGTAGCGCTGGTGTGGTATCACTGGTTGATGCTAGCAAAGCCACCAGAGGAACAACTCCCTGTTGCACCAGCTCAGCATGGTGGTGTTCCGCCAAAACTGCCAAAGCTGAAGTGCCCGCGTCGACAACCGCGGAGTTGAACAGAATTCGCTCGTTGCCCGGGGTCAACTCCTTCGAAACGTTGGCGATCTCTTCCATTTGCTTGACTGCAAGGAGTTCACCACCCGAAAGTAAGCGAATTTGCTGAAGCATATTTGTGAGCCACGCTTGAAGAATATGTTCTTGCTTGTTGCGGATCACTTCCTCCTCCTCGGACATCAATCCCACAAGACACGACTGTCGCTGCTCAGCTAGGTATACAAGACAAGTAATAGCATTTTCACGCACATGACGATTCGGGCTGGCACTCCAGGCAGTCAAAATGTCGATCCACCCAACTTCAGTGCTAGTTTCGTACTCTTCAGCACCTATTATGGGCAAGCCTGTGAGGTCATTACTCCCGCGAAAGAAACGTGACATGGGTAAGTCAAGGCGAGATTGCAAAAGAGATGCCGTCGAAAACGCATCAAACAAGCAATTGAGCGCAATCGCGCCGCTTTGAAATCCGGTGCATATATTGCGAAATGCCCATGATACGTGCCGCTGAATGCTCGTCAAATTTCTTGCTAGGTCTTCGTCGCCGCTGTTCCCATTAGTCTGCTGCTTCTCGTGAATCTGACGGGATAACTCCAAAAGCGCTGACATTGTCTTTGGGGACTCGCAAACGTAGCGTCGGCTCTGCGGAGATGCTGTGAGCGTGCGCATACACCGCGAGCTGATTAGCTGTAGTTGTAGGCATAGTGTTTGACTTTGCTTCATGGTCTCCTCATCCTCGCTTTGGTCCAATTGACCAGACTTTCGTCGAATCCAAAAATGTTTGGTAGGCTTGAGCTCGTCTTCATTTTGCTCGGTGCCTGTCCAGTACCGAATTTGCTCCATCCATAATTCATACGTCTCACGGGTCGCTGCCGCCGGGTTCCGGCAAGCGACATGGAGTAGATGATCCACCATTGTAGCAGCCTGTAATTGCAAATTTAAGCCACTATTACGTGGGAGGGCCAGCAGCATGGTGGCAAACGTCGGCCCTAGGACTGGTTCTAGTTGCTTTACCTGAAGAGCACATGACTCCTCTCGATTGATCGCCTGTACAAGAGCACCGAGTGCCCACAATCCAATCCTCTTCATAGATTCCGGCATCTCTGGAGAGCAAAGTTTCACCAAAGCAGCACAACTCTCAGCAACATGCGACGAGTCTGGATCTGCCAGGTCTGAGCGGTACACCGTAAAAGCTTGAGATGCGGTCGCCCCTTCTTCTACTCTCCTACAAGCCAACTCTTGCTCCTTTACTAAAGCGTCGCCTAATCGTAGCAAATCAACGTAGCTCACGACATCGTCCTTTTGTGGGACAATGTGACCGAGAGCCTGCGCCAGCGTCACTAATGACACTTGCAACTCCACTTGCCCATTGGCTACAGCAGCCTCCAGCAATTTGATAAGACTTTGCACCAGCTCTACAGTAAATGCACATATCAAAGAGCCATTAAATAATGTATCAACAGCACCATCATACAAAAAAGAGTTCAACACACGTTTCAGTCTTGTAGGATCAGTGGGTTTGCTCCATGCAATGTACTGTAATAGTAGAGATAAAATGTCTTGATCTATGAGGAAGCGCAGTGTGTCACGGCTCTGCTTGTCGTCCTGTAGACGCAGGATGCGGCTCAGTAGACACTCCATAAGCTCGTCTTGCACGCCACCATAGCTTACGACATCCTTCCATTGGGCCACCAACGCCGCATTGTTTTCAAAAGATAACGTCATTTTGCTCTCGTAAAGGACCAACACTCCTAAGTGCACAGTGTTACGTAGTTGCCACGCAGTATCGGGTGACATAGTTAGCGCCAAAGCCGCTACTCCCACTGCTATAGGCAAAGAAGGCAGCGAACGAGGACGTTTACGGACATAGAAGCGAGCATTTTTTGAGGTGCGAGAAGACACAAGTCGTCGACTAGGGAGGCGTCTGCCCTGCGACAGAAAGCTGCGAGTCCATTCCGTGCGCATCTTGCAAATAAATACCAGAGTGATTGTCAATACTGATACCAAAATAAATGGATTTGCTTCAGTGATTTTTGATCCTTTTTTTCTTGGTGACCAAATGATCTACACACAACGCTATTATTTTGGAGATACTCACAGATGTTCCATTGACTGCTTGCACACATGAGCTTGCACACATCAACTTATCACTACTACATTATACTACTACCATATACGCCTGCCTATGAGGCTGCTTTTCATTCGGCTTCACTTGTTGAATATGCTCGTAGGCTCGTCAGCAGCCATCCGTCTGACTAATCGTCACGACGGAGACTGGGAGGCCACTCGCTATTCTGCTGCAACGATGTCCAGAAAACACGCTCGAGGTAAGTCAATCGGTACAATACCTGGCGCTTTGCTTCCAGGTCACACTTGCCCGCGGTAATGCGGTACCAGTGGTACTTACGAACGTAGCCCACAAACTTCTTGCTGATGCGCATCGGGTGGCACACGAGCACCTCGGACAGAAACTTACGTAACGACACATTGCCGTGGAGTGGAAGGTAACCAGCTTTAAACGCCTCGATCATTGCCTTGGCGTAGTTTTCTTCCTCCACTGACCACCGGCCACTACGAACCATGCCGCTCTGTGAGTAGTCGGACCGCTTTAGGACGCGCTGGATTGGCTTCTTCGTTTCCCTGATGCTTTTGCCGCTTGGGCTCTGTCGAAAGAGGTTCGAGTTTGCAATAGTCTCTGCCACGTCATAAACATCGGAAGATGGCGAAGCACTGGACTCTTTATTCATGATCGACATGAGACTGAGCGGGTGAAACGACTTGACGCGCGTATTCACAGGCTCGTTTTCTTGGCCAATTGGGCCACGAGGACTCAAAGTGAGGCTGGGGAGCTTTTTGCTGACCCGAATGGTATTGCGTTGCAGGTTGCTCGCAACGCACTTCCGTGTCGACACGTCAAGCGGGAGTTCTTCTTGCTCCTCTCCTTTCTTCACAGCCTGAATCAGAGCAGTGGTATGCTCCTCTTCATCTACAAGCCATTGGCCCTGCTTCACTTCACTACTAATCTCTGTGTCAATAAGACCCTCACTGCTAGACTGATTCTCGTGAAGGTTTAACGGAGCAATTGAGGACGCTCCACTGCCACTCCCGTTCTCACTGAGGCACATGTCTGACGGAAACTTGCCAGTATTGACTACAATTCCCCAGACCGATGCACCCGAATAAGTCGGCAGTCCGTGCGCACTCGGCGATTTGGACCCAGACATGCTAATGTTTTGTACTTCGATCATCGGTACGCACGAGGCGGTGTGTTGCTCGTTCGACCGATGACATGGCTTTTGCTGTGACTGTTGCTGTGACTGCTGCCGACGGACAAAAGGGTATTTCATGGCCTGGCGAGGCATATGGCCAAGCAAGCTATCTGAAGCCTGCAGGTCCATGTCAGAGTCCGATTCGATGCGAGCTCTCTTGGGCACTGCCAAGGTGTCGAGCGGATAGCCGCCCATAGCCTGCATTATGGAGGGAAGTGTGTGTGTCAGCGACAGCTCTCGCTTCAACGGGCTAGAGTGGCCGTAGAGTGGCGGCGAAGCCTCGGCTGCTGATGGACGAATTTGATCAGCGGATTCGAGGAGTGAGGTCAAGCCACGCTGCAAATATCATAATGGCATGTACAAGATAAGACTTCAACAAACGCAACCACCATCTTTATATATGTTGCTGTCTACTGGAGCTGTAGCCAGGCAACAGAATCAACTGTGAATGGCATACCTTTGCCATTTCTGGCTGTGTGAAGAAAGAGGATGGAGATGACGGCGAGCGCGTAGTCAGTCCATACGGCGATTGATCGGCGCTTGATGCTTCGGTCTTGACGGGGACTGGCGGTGCGGAGTGATACCCGACGGCAAAGGCTCTCATAAAGGTATCGTCATAGCTGTTGCCTGTAGTAGAGGCGGCTCGTCGTTGATGTCGACGAGCCGTCTCTATTGGGATCCTTAATTTGGGCAACTCGACTGAAGTCACCACCGGCGTGCGCGCGTGTGTGGACGGCGCCACGGCCATCGACGGCAGGAGAGACTCCGGTAAGGTGGAGGAAGAGAGCATGATGGGCGAAAGAGCTGGGTACGGCAGTGATTTTGGTGTCAAGTGTGTGACAAGAGGCGCTAAATCGATAGTGAGAAGCGTCAAGGTTTTCGAAAACAGGCGCTTTGCCGTTAATCTTGCTTGAACTAGAGAAACAACTTCAATTTTGAAGTTCAACTCGCTTTTTCTGGGGAGACTATTCGTTACTAAACCGTAAACGGGTCATTGAAACTGAAGAAGAGAAATTCAATTAATTTTCCCTCGTATGCAGTAGCAAACAATAGTGATGCTGAGCTCACTCTGTGCGATAACGTCATTATTAAAGCAAAGGTTGTCTTACTACTGTGTAGCTCGGTAAATGTAGCTTTTGTTTAGGTGATTGCTCGTCGTGTCTGTCGTCTAATGGCGTTCACGCTTTTAGTTCTTTGAGATTTGTAAGGGGGTTACCAAACTTCAGAAATAAAATTCCACAAATTCGATCTCATTGCCAAAGTGTTGACAAACGATCTGCCTGCTTCGTGCGTGGCTTGTAAATGTTGCATCAACGGCTTCGACGGTGTGTTTGAGCCTCAGCTTGACTCGCCAAAACAACTGCTTACAGCTGGCGTGCCCTTCCCGTCTTCTCGACGTCAGACCGTAAGCTCAACGATATGAGCACCACGCTTCTTCAGGCTGAAGTGCTGTGGCTGGAGTCCGTCTGGTGGCAGCAAGCATGCTGCGGCCTTTTCTTCCTGGATGGTGTGGCGTTGCATCTAATGGTTTCTGCTTCCCCACGGTCTCTTTGATGCCGTTTCACGGTGACATTGCAGATGTTCTTGGTGTGCTGACTCCGATGCTGTTTACATTTAGTCACCAATGTTATCAAGTGTTGACGCATAGATCCCGCCCTTATTATGGTTGATTTGTAGTAATGTGCTAAGAATGACAGCAACACGATTCGATGCTCTGCTGCATAGCGTTATACGGGGATGCCAGATGTCTGTGAGCTTGCAGCAGACCTAGTGGTGTACGCATCCCAGTGGCTACACGTTTGCGGATGACTCGTCATTGAAGAACAATAGAACCGTTTCCCTCGGTCATGACTGGATCTTATGTGTAATGCATCGATTACTTAGTGCGCATGACGTCTTGGTAGTTTAAGCATATTGACAATGTCAACGACAAAACCTTGAACACAGGATGGCTGACAGAAAACAGCTATTATGCGAAAGTGGTAGCTGCAGCGCTAACAGTGACACTAAGCTCAGTTTTAGACAGAACTGCCTTTATCTCATGTAATTACTGGTGGGTTCTCTCTCCGGAGTTCGGCAGGGTGGTTAAGACCGCTGCAATGACTTATGAATTTGACAAATACTCGAGGAAGTTTTTGAGGATTAATAAATGAATTGAGCATAGGCGTACCTTTAGACGGAGCATTAGCGACAAAGCGGGCATGTTGGGGTCGTGCTAACCCGATCAACCACGCAGCTTCGTGGAAGTGGTGACCGCACGGCAAGAGACTATCGGTCTCGCGTCATCTGTAACGCCGATCCTATTGAGGCAATTAATGCACACCCTCGCAAGCATCTTCACTTCCAAGCTAGGAGAAGTCTTTCAGCGCGGGTGTAGTCGCCCTAATGACCGCTTGCGCGATCCGAGCTGACTTGTGCGATTGCCGAAGTATTGACGCATGGCGCGGGGACGCGGCAAAGGGAAGTTGTAGATACGCAGTCTTCTCGAAACTAGAGCTTGACTTACAAGTAAGCCGGGTTTCGTGCGGTCTGGCTATGGCCAGCTCGTAATCTTGCGGCGCTGATCCAGTCGATAACGCTATCATTGATGATAAGTTAGACGAAAAACGCTTCCTCGTTTCAGAGAGGGTCCTCCCAGATGCAACAAGGTCTGTGTACATGCCCATGATCTTGCGCACAAACTCAGTAAGGCTATCTCTCTCGACCTGTCCGGCAATATGATATTGGTGTCCACGTCAATGCGCTTCTTAGTAAATTGTAGTGAGATGGCATAACGCGTTCGAGACAAAGATCCTTGCTCGGGCTTTGTTCTATCCTTCATTTAGGTGCGCAATCTATACTGGGACACGAAGATAGTAAGTTGGAGTATCTTATCTATCGCGTGTCGGTCCTTCTCTCTGCCTCGGAAGGTAGTTGTCAGCGTCTACGTCGTCACAACTGATACATTGTCGCTTTGAAGGGTGAAAGCGTTACTAATATCTGAAGCATGAATTCGCGGACCGGGCACTACAGCTCCAGTATCCTACTTGTAAGGAGACTCTCAATGAGCACGTAAGATTCTCACCACTGTTTAGATGGTGATATCGAATGTGCATGTACAAGGTGTCCGGATTGTGACGCGTACAGCACATGTATATCGACGTCAAGCAGCATGTCACGAATCTTTTATTCGAAACTGCTTTGAGCAGATACTCTCACTTGTAAAATGTTACGTTCTGTGAAGACCACTTCTTCGTAGTATTCTGTTTCTACATTTGTCATGCAGAACAAGATTGAAAGTCGAACGTAGCATGAACTACGGTAAGGTAATATTTGTCGTGTATGTATTACCAAACCAACTGAAAGCGGACCGGGAATAGCCACGCTCTGTTACATACTCGATGAAGCCGATCGTTATCACCCTGCGCGATGCGAGCTTCATTCGGCTGATTGCTGTTATGACAGAGCATCGCTTTAGTAGTGATTACTTCTCCGCACGAAGTTGCATACACGGTAGGCGAGATTCGCGGGCAGTATTCGTGCTGCAGGATGCTGCAACGCCTGTTGGCCATTCACAAGTCTGATGAAACCCTGCCTTTTCATTCTGCGCTCCAAGATACAGGTAAATACTTGATAGCTCAATGCCTTACAATGGAAGCCAGGTTGCTCACTAAAGCGGTCTGAAAGAAAAGGCTTACTTCCGCAGACTCATACACGAGGGCTCACAATTGCAACGACTCGCTAAACCTCACATCCCCCACGATTGTCGCTCACGGCTTACCGCTTGCACAACCACAGTGCCGGTGACATGTTGCATAATATTCAATCTTGCCATCAGCGCTATTCGGAGCTCGACAAATTTTCGCTAGCTGCTGCTCAAGCACATTGAGCACTGGGAGCATTATGTTCGGATAAAAGCCGCGTCGGTAGTTGAGCGTTGGCCGGTATAACGTGGTTCAAGGAGGTGTCGTTTTGATTACAGCCAGATGTTGCTCATCGCGTGGCTCTGCTCAGAAGCTCGCTTTCGATGGACGGACCTGTATCATTAAAAAAATTAGTTTTTTGTATGTTCTCGTGTTTTAAAATATCAAATTAAAGTTTAGCTTGTGTCAAATCGTCACTGAATTTTTTATTGGTTTTATTGAGCACACATCATGACCTAAAAACTCAGTCAGTGGAGTATCGTGGACCCGCGAACATTAACATAAAACTACATTTTCAGTAAAATATCGCACGCTGCTAGCTTGTATTTTCCTGTACAAACCCACTTACTGCGTCGTCTTGTTACAGCTTTAGAGTACTCTAGTTGCCACATGTTTCTTGATGGTGTGCACGCCATCGTTCTACATAAAAGAATCTTGACAAGAAAACGCAAATATTGACGGAGCCCTGTTATCCTTTTTCTAGTAATTGCCATAAATACTCTCCATGTCGCTCTACTGTCGAGATGCTGCGCCTTTACGGCTAAGCTGAAATGCTCTCATTCACTGAATGAACTAAGGCATGTAAATACTGAAGCTTCGCCACTTTGCAAGTATGAAAACTCACATTACGATGGGACTTCAATTCGACGATCTCTTACTAGTCGAACATCCAAATAATATCCAATTGCCGAATCAACTGGATTTTTTACCTGTAAACGAAAATGTAGAGGTGTCCTGCAAAGCCCGCTATAAGACGACAGAGCCTGTCAAGTCCAGTCACGATGTAGAGACCAAACTTGCTCACTTTTTGCACTCCGATTCCAATTTTTGCTTTCATCACTTTAATGTTTGAACGGTCCATCGGACGCATTTATTCGGCATCTTGCCCATTTGGCATTTGTCACCGTAACATTAACGAAACTGCATCCGCACGATCGAGGTCCACCCCTGCCTCGACATGACCATCACGCCGCGCGTCCAGAGTCAGTACTTTCAGGAAGACCAGGAACTTATTCGCCTTGCGCCTAACCAAGATCAAGTCCGCTCGTTGCCCACAAAGCGCGCTGGTACGTCCTGGACCCTCGAAGAACACGAACTGTTCTTGGAGGCCCTCGAGTACTACCCGTCAGGTCCGTGGAAAACAATTGCAGCACACATCGGAACGCGGACGACGCGTCAGACCATGACGCACGCGCAAAAGTACCGTGAGAAGATCGCGCGAAGGCGAAAGGCAGAAGTCGTAGCGGGCCCTTCAAGCAAGTCTAACGGCGAAGTACAAGTCTTGAGTGACTCCACCAGTCGCATACATGAAACGCCACAAGTCTACAATTCATCGACGGCAGCGCCGTCAAACCTGTCTAATGACGGCCAGGTCGTAAAAAACTGAATTTCTGAACAGCTGCGGCCATTGTGTCGCCCAAGAAGGTGAGCTAGAGGTTGACGACAGCGTAATCGCACTCCTTGCGGAATTTGAACCCCTCGATATGATTTCCACGTTGAAGCCATAAGCGAGCACCATGTTTGTGTTGTCTGAAAGGCCTGCAAAAGTGGCCATGATGCTGTTAATAGTCCGTTCCAGCAAATACATACTTCGACAATGGGACGCTATCTCATAAGCATAAATAACAGTCTGGCGTTTTCTGCATCTTAAAAGGAGTGGTCACATGCTGTGTAATTGCATATGTCGCCACACGTCACGAATAATGACGGAGATCAATCATACCAAAAGTCTTGCGACCGGTGATGCTGCTTACAACGAAACGTCACCCTACGCTGATTTGGTCTATAGGAAGAAAAGATTCTTAGATCGATCCACGGTCGACGCCAAAGCGTTCAAACATGTAACATGTGAAACATATCGTAAGCTTTGTCCATCGTGATCATCAGGTATGCAGCATGCCTCGGAATCACTGCAAAATTACAGGGAAGCAGCGGCGATACCTACTGAGTCAGCGCCAACCAGCACAAAGGAAGAAGCAAAGTGTCGCTTTGGTCTTTGCGTCAAACAAAGAACGCGAGATATGCATCATAGCTTCTAGCATATCAGGCTCGCTGCATCGTTTTGTAGCATGAAAATGCCATATGCGTTCTACGTAAAACTTGCTATGGCGAGCATCGCACTGTAATTCTGCACAATCATTTTGCCAGATTGGTCAGAGCATTTAAAGCGGAAGGGTAAAAGCCCGCTAACATTTTGGTGAGGAACGAGCTTAAGTCTGAGCCTGTGTCTCCTGCCGCGCTATGCAACGTAAGAAATCCCTTGAGTACGTCACTAGTAGCATATGAAATCGAGCACTGCGATCAGTAAACTTGACAAATGATAGAGTGTAAATACTGCCAGTGCAATTGATCGAAGCAGGTTTAGTCTGTCTGTATTTCTTTCGGGTTGTCAATTGGCTGGGATCATATTCTCACGTTGTATCTATTTCCTCCGTGCCGGATACCGAAAAAACAAACCGGATGGCAAAATATAAATTTATCACAATAAGTACGAATTACAAAAAAATCGAGGGCTAAGGGGGCAAACTATCAATCAACATTATGTACAACGGGATTGGGCTACGCACGGTTCGCGGCTCGGGCACGAATGGCTACGTACAGCGCAATCTCAGCTATGTGAACGCATCACGCACACGACAAACGTTGGTGAATAATCAGCGTGGAGGATCCTCGGGGGATTTTGGCGCGCGTGGAGGCGGCAAAAATCGGCTGCCACCTAATGCAGAGATCCTGCTGCATGAAAAGAAGAGGAAAGTGGAGCTACATTTGCTTGAAATGTCTTTAGAGATGGAGGAACGTGACTGCGATCCGGAAGAGATTGAGGATAAGGTGAAGCGAGAACGCGAGCGGCTGTTGACGCGTCTGCATGATGGAAAAGACGGGGGACAAGAGACGACCAAGGACGCAGAAAGCTCACACGCTCGACAGAAGCGCAAAGAGGAGGAGAATAAGAGGATTAAGGATGCATTTGGTATCGCCTCGGACTATATGGTGGGCGAGAGCTTTGATCCAAAGATGCAAGAGCGACGTCGTAATGAGAGGAAGGAGAGAAGGGAGCAGGAAGAAAAGGAGATGAAGGAGAAGAGGGAGAAGAATGAGAAGGAGAAGAAAGAGAAGAGGGAGAAGGATGAGAAGGAGAGGAAAGAGAAGAGGGAGAAGGAGGAGAAAGAGAGGGAGGAAGCTCGACTGCTTAGATTAAAAACGAGAGAAGAAAAAGACGCGAAGATAAACACGAGACGCGAACCATTTCTTTCCAGATCGAGGTCCAAATTGGCCACTCGCTCACGTCGATCGAGATCTTTGACAAATCATCGCACTCAGAGCCGCGATGATGTAAAGTTGCGGAAGTCCCCCTCGCGCTCCTCAGTAACGGAACGACGTTCACGTCGGTCGTCAGCGTCTGATAAACGAAAACGGCGCTTCGTGTCTTCCTCTCGCAGCAGCAGCTCCAGTCGCTCACGCTCTCGCTCGCGTAGCCGGAAGTTACGAAGTGAAAAGTGTCGTGAGAAGGACTCTCAAGCGACGAAGATGGTCGAGCGCAAACGGTCCCGTTTCGCCAGTAGATCAATTTCGAGCTCAAGCTCTGGTTCTGGGTCTTACCGTAGTGAGCACTTTAGTCGGAAGGCCACGGTCACTAAAGGTACGCAGTTGTCTTTGGGTGCATCGCCGGCGCGATCTACTGTTCTCAAGGGCAAACATAAGGTGTTGAACCTGTCGAAACGTTCCGCGTCTATCTGTGCGGTGACCAACGATGATTCACATGAAAAAATAGACATAAAGGAGGAGAAAAGGAGTGTTTTGTCACCGGAGAGAGAGAAGAGTGCTGGGGAATCCAGCCCTGTTGTGGCAAAGCGAGAAGTAAAGCACGAGGCATCCTCCAAGCAAAAAGTTGACGAAACAAAGACGAGTATTCCAGCCGTCCTTCCGGTTCAAGTGAAAAAGGAAGAGAAGACCGAGGCTTCGCGCTCTTCTCGACGCTCGCCTTCCGCTATTGCCAACTCACGACCGCAACTTCGCAAGCGCAAGCTGCGCAGTACGTCATCAGAGGACCGACGTCGTCGCGGGAGAAGCACGAGTAGCACCTCGTCAAAAGCCTCCCTCAGTCCGCGTTACCGACGTATGTACTCGCCTTCGGCCAGATCTCGATCTCCATCGTCAGATTCGTCACGCTCTCGCTCTCGTTCGAAATCTCGTTCTCGTCGACCCAACCCCCCTCGTAGACGCGGTCGCAGCTCTAGCCGCAGTCGTAGTCGTAATTGCGGCCGTAGCCATTTCCGAAGCCGTCGCTACTAGCGTACGAGCATCTACCACGCCGTATTTTCGTGTGAGGCCAATAAGTTGTACGGTAGCAACGAGGTAAGCAGTTGTTCGGTAGCAACCCGTAATCACATCCATTTTGTACTTGACTTTTGTATTGCCATCGTTTCGTACCGCACTTTTAATTCGAGAAGTGGCAGATGATGTCTTCCTCTTCTGCTGCCAGCGCTTTGGTCGCTACCTCCACACCAAGCACAAGTATTAGTAGTGTACCAGATGACGGCCGTCTATTTCATTTAGAGTCCGGTGGTAGCACCAGCTCTAGCGGGCTTCCATCAGCCTCAACTGCCACCGGCGGCTGTTCACGCGCGCTACAGCGCCGCTTCCCTCGTGTCCGGCGGTGTCTCACCCGCGCGTCGCTGGGGCTGCACATGAGCAGAGCAGCCAATGAACTGACGGTAATTGTAGCGCTGTTGCTGATGGGGATCGTGGGCACCTTTGCGCTGCACCAGTTGATGAGCCCGGAAATCGAGGCGCTTACTCAGCAGCGAGAACGGCTTAAGGATGACGTGATAATGCTGCGGCTGCAAGTGAGGACTTAACATAGTGGCAAGCGTTGTATGAGTGCTCTAAGACTGACAATAGTATGTATTATTAGGTGGAGAATATGACGCGCATCGCTGAGAGTCGCCTAGAGACCATCCACCTGCTAGAGACGGAACTTGAGCGACAGCACGTTCAAGCGGCGGAAGCTGCGGCCAGCTCTGATACAAAAGGTAACGCTATTTCGGCTGCGGCTCCTAATGAGTTGAAGAGCGGCGAGCTTCGTCCGAGTGTGGTGTTACCTACGATCTTCTACACCCTGCTGCTGGGATCCGTCGTGCTTGCATCTGTGGTTTACCGCATCATGCTTATCATCCGAGGCGAGATTGTCGCACAGCAGAAGCTAGGAAGGAAGCAGTACGTTGATACTAGTGGCTCTGGCGAGCTTATGATGCCGTCGGTTACGGAGTTGTCTTTGGACGGCCGACGAAATGGAAGAGGAACGCCGCCGCTTTCTCCGACGCGAGAGCCAATCGTTGATGACGCGGTGTCCAGCGACACCCGAAGTGGTGCGTCTAACGGTACCAACTCGTCTCTCAGTCCTAAAACAACCGACGAGTCTTCACCGCAGTGCTACAAGCGCGCTCCAGGATCATCACCCACGATCGTCTAAGTAGCTCTTCATGTACAAATTTTCTAGCTGACAAGAAAGTCGCAGTTTAGTGATACACCAAGCATAGTAAAGAAGCAGCTCATGATGCTGGGCAGCAGAATACAGCCTCTTTTTACAAACGCAATCAACTTGATCGAGTAATTGTTGGCACAGTAATTTAATGGATGGCGTGTTTGTTTCTCGTTGTGACGTTCGAACGCACGCACATCATTTTATTGGAAAGGAGAAAGAAAAAAGACGTTGCAAGCACGTGGTGAAGGCGGATAGAGACAAGAAAAGAGGCAGCACCAAATGGAGTGGTCCGTCTAACGAGAGAAAGGGTGTAACGTCTCAAACTCAGTTTGTATCCATATACTTTTTAACCGACCCTTTTTAGTTATATGGCCCTTCCCCATAGAATTAGTATAAATCTTTGGGTGAACAAAGTATCTTCACCAAACCAGCTATTGTTTCAACACTGATTGGGCACCCAAAGAGCGTTCCGTCGCCACTAGCTTGCTAGTGTCGATGAAGGTTCTATTATTAAATGTAAACTACTTAAGTAAAAGTAAGGAGCCAATTTTTCTCACTACATGTAAAACAGAGATAGTGTGTTCACTAATAAATATGTATAATATGACATTGTTTGTATCTGGATATGGAATCATACGATTATTAATGTTAGTACTACAGTATCAGCTGAGAAGCCATTACCAATAGTATAAAATATAGCTAATACCTTATAATATCATTCATCTATAATACTCCTTTTAAAAATATCTGTACTAAGAATACATTATATGTAATATAAAACATTAACCGTAAAGTACTTTCGGTATGATATTACAACCGTCGTGTAAGCCCCCCTTTACAAAAGAGAGCTGTATTTGATATAATTTCGGCATCAATAAACTAAATTTGTTGTAACCTTGCTCTAACTATATGTAGCTATGAACATGTATGTCGGCTACTTGCCCTCTACTCATTGCACGTATCCGTCCTTTATTGACCAACGCGCTGGCTGCCATTAGGCCTCTCCAACTTCAACGACAGTATTACAATTAAAATAGTATTGTCGAATATTACTAGCTAAGATAATGTTCACATTAGTTTAACTGTTCATGCCAGTGTTATGTAACGAGTCTTCCCCGTTTTCTGGTTGCTCCTGCATCCGGAAAAACGGTAAATCTTCGTCGGGCGGTCATTTAGTTTATTTGTCAGTGCAGCAACCTTGCATTGATTTCAATGCATGTCACCCGATATGAGGTATATATTCATCCTATAGCAACACGTTTTAGCTTGCAGATATTCGTAAAAAGTGACCTAGCATAATCAAGCTTACATGAGTGGTGTTAAATGCAGGAGTTATGATTATCAGTGACGCTAGTTGCTAATGCTTTCACAAAATGTGTTCGACTACTCGAGATTCGTTCGAGAGGCAAAGACAATTATCAAGAAAAGTTTGAACGTGCAAGTCCAGGTAAAGCCTTTGCCACTGGCCACAAGCTCGGCGTCAAATAAGTCTTCTGCACGGCACGTCGCTACCGACCGCTGCGTTGTGCTTTTTTGACACTCATTGGACTGACATTTCTTTATTGCAAGTAGTGGCAGCTTTGTCCTGAGTATTGTGCTAACGAAAGTGTCGATAAATTCCTTAATGACTAACAAATGTTTAAAGCCAATGGTTGCATGGAGCTCATGGGTTGCTGTCTTGTAGTGGCCTATTACTCGCGTGTCTGCGTTTCCGCGAGACTGTTTCGATAGAATGTTGACAGCTATCTTTGCATTTTACCTCACAAGAACTAATCTACGTTTATCACTCGCCGTGGAATGCGGACGCCAACGCCTGTACCAATGGAAGCGTTGGATGCCGCGCTTCAACGCAACAGCTGTCCTTTTCTCTTCGAATATGAAATTGGGAAATGCTGAAGTCTAGTAAAAAACTACCGCTTGAACTTGTTAACGTTGAGTGGCCTTCGATAATGCCGTCGCCGAGAAGCCTTTAGCGATAGCTTCCCACCCTCATGGTGATTTATACCAACTTTTCAACCATTTTCGATGTACTACTTGAAAAAAATACTATTTGCTTGTATTTAATGATGCAATGAGTGGTTCGTATGCTCATCCAGTGCAGTGTTACCCCCAGAGTAGTGGCGTCATAGCTCAAGTGCTATAACGTTGTGTACGTTGATGATCCGATCGTGATGCACGTTCAAAGTGTCGTCACCAATTCCTGAGTACCCACTATCACACTTTGTGACTGCCTCTTGTCCATGGGACATATGAAGCCAATCGCTTGGTCCTGCATTGTACGCGGCATTGTGATTCACGCCTTTTTGTTTATGACATCATCACATACTAATACACTGCAACATAGGGTGTACGTAACTGCACATCGTGAGCTTCATCGTGCGGTCCCAATTTTTGGGCTCCTGCAACGATGGTCCAGGCTCGCAACGATAGACTAGATTTTTGAACAAGTCCGACCCAGATTTTGACACTTGGATTCTTGTTTCGTTTACTTGTAGATAAAGAAGAAGCAAAAGACTATTCACTACTGGTACCAGCATGTCGTTGCAACCCTACATGCCAGGCATGTGTTTGCTGGACTCTCACTTGCACAATTCTATCCAGCTGGACATAAGAAGTGTCAATGTAAATTGAAATCGACCGGTCGACGAGGCTAGAATGCTGGACGGGTGGTCGCTAGACTTGTTCCTACTCACTTCGCAATTTGCTTCCAAATCCCCAGGGCTTCATTTTACATTGAGCTGTTTATTAAAATGGCCTGCATGACCAACACAGTTAAACGTCGGTACTGGTTCATGGTGCTAGCAACGGTTTTTGTTCTCACATGGCTCAGCAAAAGTGCCAAGACTATGGTTAAGATGATCGTCGCTGGTTCTTCTGTTTCGCAGCATGCACTAAGAGATGCGCGAGTGAATCGGCAGTTGAGGGCAGACTTTCAAATGACGGAGAAAATTGACCGTGACGACGAAGAAAGAGTAGCAGATCTCGATTCTTCGATTCAACACCTTAATGCAGCCTTGAAAAATGCCAATGCGCTTGAGGCTAGGATGCCCGAGGTTGGCAAAAACATGGACATTTTGTTAAAGAGCGAAGAGTTCCGGAATTGGGCCGAGAATATCGATTTCGTGAACCAGAAGGATTTTGGAAAAGCTGCAGTTGACAAGATTTCAAGACTCATGACTCGCTTCAACGAGAAAGCGGTGATTAGGATGCTAGAAGACGGAAAGAAGGTCGAAGCGACGAAATCTATTGCCGAAGGATTGGAAATGGGTCTGGCGTTGAAGCGGACATCGGATGGAGATCCGGACAAGGCTATTGAATTGCTAGTAGCTGTAGCTGGCAAGGATGGTGTACCCAATTTTTTGGGGAGTCCATTTTTGAAGTACTGGATTGACTACTGTGAGAAAACTATGAAGAACCCGTATTCGTTGCTTACGGAGTACTTTTTGCAGGAATTCGGTGACAGAAAGCTAGCACACACTTTGGCTGAGGCAAAAGGCAGCGATGCTGCGAGGAACGTGGCAACTGAATTGGAGAAGCAGCTGATCGAGAAGTGGGTAGATAGTTCTATGGATGTTTTTAGGGATTTGAAGTTTGATAAAGCAGGCATCGATACGCCAGAGTGGGACACGTGGGTCTCGTATCTGGTGAAGAAGTACGTCGGAGAAAAAATCGGAGACGAAGAAGAAAATGAGCTAGTGATTTCAGTGCTGAGGAAGTACTTCAAAAACGACGACCGTCTAAGAAAGTGGATCGCTAAAGCTAAAGGTGGTAAGAGGGATGAACTTGTCACAGCTTTGGAAAGTACGCTTGAGAAAATGGTAAGACCAACGACTGCCGAGGAGCTTGAGGCTGGCACGACCAAGTTTGACGAGAAGATGGAAGGCCTGCTAGAGGAGAGCGCCTATTCCAAAACATGGGCCAAGTATGTGGAACAAAAATCCCAAACCGAGCACGATCCTGCTGTAGGCGCTAAAATTGACAAGATTTCAACGCTTATAGCTAACTACGGCGAAGAGAAGGTGATTGAGATGCTAGCGACCAATAAGAACGTCCCAGCCATGCGATCTTTTGCTGAATCCTTGGAATTGGGTTTGGCGCTGAAGTGGACATTGGATGGACGTATGAACGACGTTAAAGCATTGCTAGCAGCTGGCAACAACGATGTTACCACTTTTTGGGGGAGTCACCTTTTGAAAGATTGGATCTACTACTGTGAGATTAGGATGAAAAAGGATCCATATTCGCTCTTGCTTACGGCGTTACTGCTCGAAAAAAGTGACGATGCTGCGCTAGCAAAACAGCTTGCTGTGGCAAAAGACAGTGTTGCCGCAAAGAATGTGGCAGCTAAAATGGAGGAGCATCTGATGGCGAAGTGGTTGAGAGATGGAGTGGGTGGTGACACTGTATTCGAGAAGCTTGAGCTCAAGAAAGCAGGCTTCGATATGATCAATCAACCAGAGTGGGACACGTGGGTCTCGTATCTTGAAAAAATCGGAGGAACAAGAAAATACTCGCTAGTATTCTCAGAGCTGAAGAGACAAAATATCGACGTTAAGAAGTTGTTAAAGGCAGCTCATACCTATAAGGGTCGGGATCGTGCCATTGCTTTCATAGCATGGCTTGAGCGTCAGAAAGCGGCACAAGAGCTTACAAAATCAAATAGGATGGCTGAAGAGAACGACGGCAAAGCGTTGCATACGATGAAGCGCCAACGAAACGACGATGGTCAGTAATTTGCTGAATTCGGTACAGGAAAGCAGTAACTGTAGGAGGGATGCTTGGAAGAGGCTTTACAGTCAATTTGAAACATGCGTCGTAGTACAAATTGGGGACGGGAAGCTGAATTGAGGTTTGAATATTTCTGGTGTAGTAACTTGTTAATTCTAATCGCTTCCTGAAATCTTGAGCTGTCAATAGAGTTGTCGTAAAGTGCTTCTTCCTACGTGTTTTTGTGACTCATGTATCGATTACCATCACGATTTTCCTCAAGCAAACCTCACGTCACATTTTGATCTCAACCGTACGGTCTACTCAACAAGATGAGATGAAACTGGCGATCGACACATCCCACGAGAGCTTCCGACGGCCCCGCATCATCTTTATTCAAGTACAGAGTCATTCATCAAGACGTTGACGTTGCTTGCGCTCTTGACCGACGCGTTTTTGACTGAAAAAAGGCAATCAATTCTCATTACGAGGCTAATAACTTTGCTTCTTCTTTATACCGGCGATCATCGCGTGATTTCCGAGAGAGACACCACGTTGTGGACATTAGAAAAGGAGCTAAAGGAGCGAAAAATCCCAGTGCAAGACGCAGTAGCAAGTTCAGATCCTATAGTGGACGCTACAGTCTCTAGTACAGCCAGGTTGGCCCAGATAAAATGCAACAGCTGCTGATGACACAGGAGACTGGAGGAGCCAAGGATGACGCGGGTAAGGAGTATACAATGCAGCCTTATCCCTCAAAGCCGAAGAGGCTTATGGAAGCCTATGCGATGTCGTCAGCCACGACGTTCGTAATGGCGGCGATCGGTGGCAGACCGAATGGCCTCGTAATTGTAAAGGAGGACGAGAGTGATCCTTTGTACCATAAAGGTGCAGCAGCTTCCGTGGGAAGACTATATCATTTTGAAGCATTGACTTCAATGCTGCTGCCAAAGCAAATAGAGGGTTGAAGAAAAATATGGAGGAGTGGAGACTAATGATTTTGTAGGAAAAGCTACAGCCGTGCAGGAAAGTAAGGACAACCGTGGTAGTAAAGGGGGTAGTCGGGGGAAGATAGCGACGACAAAGAGTGAAGAAGTAGTTGCGCGCTGCGAGAGCTGGTTAGGAAATTTGTTGACAACGTTTGCAGCTCCAAGTGATAAAACGACGATATGACTAAGCCGCAGAACTACGGATGGAGTTGGGATTTTTTTTTAAGACAAGCAGGGATAGTTAATGGAGTGAGTAAGAAGAATTGCAAGACGGAGACGCTTCCCTGTCTGCTTGATATGGAGCTGCGGAATGGCATGTAAATTGCGTCGAATTATTTGGAAATTTACACAGGATATTCCGAAGAACCGGCTAATCGGTGGAGAGACGACTGAAGGTCGATTGAGCATGGCAAAAAGAATAAGGATACACGTGTAGTGATTACGTGCACCACTCGTGCAGCTTTTTCGTGAATTTCCTAAGACGAAGCGGCATGACTTTCACAGACCCAGCGGAAACTTTAAAAAATAAGCGAGCGGCTAAACCTTATAATACCGCCACACGACTTATTGTCTAGGATGCCACTGGTGTGCGCTGGAGTTCCATGTTTAATGTGATGGACATTTCATACGGTGTTTACGGGTAGTAAGTCTGCAAAATGTTGTCTACACTCTTTAAACGTTGCATTCACTGACACTGAGCATGAGACTGCAGCAACAATAAATTTTACATGAGACAGCTTATTGTCAACCACGGAGTCTTTGTGGTATTCCGCAAACGGGGACGAGTCGGTGCCAAGTCACCGCAGTCGCAGACGGAGCGCTTTAACATTTTAGTAGTCACATTGAGCGTAGTGGCAACATATAAGACTAGTGGGACAATCAAGTTTCGTAAGTGTAAAGTGAGGAGGAAATAAGCATTCCGCCTAAAGTGTGTGTCTTTATGAGAGCATGATGTCTGGTCATGGAAGGCTGCAGATTTTAAGATAGCGAAGTTATTTTTTAATACCTTCTGGTGTGAATAAAGCGATCAATCTTATCATTCGGCGTTTAATACTGCGAAGCCACATTGATAGGCGCGTCTAGTGCAGCATCGAGGTGAGGCGTTGCTAAGGAGAAGGCTTAAGCTCAAAATGGAAAAAAATCCTGTCGTACGCATGCTCATGACCGATAATTATTTTGCTCATTACATAAGCAAATAGCTACAGACTGCGCCGTGGACTTGAAGTAAAACTACATAGAGTACCACCTACAGGTTAAGGTTCAGGCTTGCTGCAGCTTGGTGGAATTAGTGATTCCACCGGTCGTAAACAGGATATTCACCTTGCGTTTGTGTTACAGTCCGCGCCAAATAAAAAGTGGGAGGACGATCCAGCATCTAAAGCTGAGAGCAAGATTAGAGCAAAGACTGCAGCCGTACAAGGCTGTGGAGCTTTATCTGGCAGGACAGTCGGACAGTCGACTTGCGTAATCTGGAAATAAAGGAGGATGGTGACGTGCTGCGCAATCTGGATAATACTGACGCAATTAACAAGAAACTGCGACGTGGGATCGAATTTAGCTACTAGCTTAAGCATTAATTTGCACGTTGCGCGCGCAAGTCGCTTTCTGCGCAACAGCAGGAATACCGCAAAAAGTGCGATGTATGTTATGACCGCCAAGTGGATGTGCTGGGCTCAGCTAAGACTTCATTTTTCTCGGATCAAGAATGATACGGTTATGGAAAGCTTGACAAACTACGTGTTGACATCAAGGCAGAGGCATCTTAGGAGGCGCAAACGCAAAGCGTGGTCCAAGTTATTTGTTTCGTAGTGGCGCTTGAGGTTTTAGCCGCTCGAAGGAAGTGCTTGCAGAGCGGAAAGATGCTGTGGAAGTATCGCCTCATGGAGGAGAGAAATGCAGACCAAGGTTTCAGCATTACTTCCAAAACCACACGCGGTATGCGCTTGCCTGACGTTGCCACCAACAGAGTGCGCAATTAGTAAGGCGCAAGTTGGGGGGGGGGAAGGAGCTAGTTGTATCAGGTATGGGGGCTACTGTAACGGGGTGAGCCCGAAAAGGGCTACTGTAACGGGGTGAGCCCGAAAAGGGCTACTGTAACGGGGTGAGCCCGTTACATAATATTGACACTTATATGAAGTGTCAATAAAAATATTATTATAACTAGTAATATTTGACAATATTATCTTTTCTTAATATTGTTCCTAGATCTCCTTGAAGTTGGAGATGCCCTCTCATTGGTTGATATGGGCCATCATATCAACTAACGCGCTGACCAATGACCGATGGACGTGCGCAATGAGTGGAGGGCAAGTTGTCAACATACATAGTTGTAGTTTAATATAGTTAACATAGGTTATAACAGATTAGTTTTATTAGATAGTTAACTATATTAAATACAGTTTTCTTTTCCCTCTCAACTAAGCGTTTGTTTAGTTATAAGCTTCCTCTGCTCACGT